CCTTCATAGGATCAGATTATAATCTGGGTGAGGCAAACTGGAAGATTTGCTTTAGATATGTGCAAATCTGCAAGAATTGCCATCAAATTTGTATGCCAGAAATCTTAGGAAGGTTTCTTATGGACCTTGATGAATAGATGCAAGGATTGGTTCAGTCATTTCAGAAGGTAAGCCTAGCATTAGCATTGTGTATCTAATAAAGTGGCCAGTAATTAATTAATAATCTCTGTATTTGCTTTTTTTTAATGAGAAGATACCTCTTAATGCCTAAACTATTAGTCTAAACTAACTTTGCATCAAATCCTTTGTAAAAATGAATCTTACAGTCAAAGATCAGCTCTGTGGGTTGGCAAACACAAATATGTTTTGTCTTACTTCATTCTAGCCACCACCAACGTATGAGGAAACGTTTTACTCCACCGTGCAAGCACCTCCGGCCAATGTTCCAGGTGTGGACATTCACCGGCCCACACATCCCTACAACGAGTCCCCACTCTCACGTGAAGAAACACTTGCCTCAGCTGCACACAATTCCATGTGCAGGTCTTCAAGTTTCAGGATCCTGTCTCCCTGATGGGTAAAACACCCCTGCAAGACATTTCCGCTGTTGAAGGCACCTCAATGACACAAGGGAAGATTATCTGCCAAATGGGACACCTTTGAGTTAGAGAAGCTGATAAATCTGTTTCATCTCTGGGAATTTGCAGGATCATGACTCAAACTCAAGCTTTTCCACTCCTCCAACCTGAGAATGACACCCCACTGCACTTATTAGAATATACATATTTGGTTTCCTGTAGCTTCTGATTAAATATCCACATCTTCTGTGTTTCTTCTGAATCTAATGAATAAAAAAAACATTTTTTTTTACATATTCTTTAATTAAAGCCGTTTTTTTTCATAGAGGTTGAAAATAATTTGTAACAGGTACCAGTCAGTAGAAGGCTGCCAGAAACAGCAAACCAGTTAGATAAAATTGAGAAGCCACAAATCATATTGTCCCATTCACATCATTTATAACTTGGCAACAGAATGTGGTTTGGTCTCATGAAACCAAACCTGGACTTTTGGACCATGATTACAGACCTCAATGTTGATTAACAAACAAATGTCCAAATATGGATGTAATCGTGGTAGAATCACGATCTGTTTGCATCAAAACATTCTAAATACTGGTCGGTTTTCACGCACAAAACAAGAAGAAGGGTTATATATCCCGGTAATATAGACAAATTAATATGAGATTACCATCATCATAGGAACGGCCAAGCTCCAGTCCTGAACTAAAACAGAATAAAAATCTGTGAGCTCATCTAAAGAGCACGCTGGTCCATAAAAGTCTTAGCGATCTGATCAAACTTGATCACAGCGGAGAAAAATATGCCAAAAGTAAAAGAATTACAGAAAAAGAAAAATGGTATTCTAAAACCTGTTAAGTGATCTTTGAAGTAATTATTTTATTTATTAATATTGCTGCTCAAATATTTTCAATATTCAGTCCTGTACTAAATCCCAACTGATTTTAGATTAATTTGCTTATTGCCTTCCCAAGTGGGTTCTGGTAGTTTGACACAAAGCCCACCTGCATGAGTGGATTTTCTCCAAACACTCCGGCTTCCTTCCACAGTCTAAAAAAAATTACAGTTTATTAACTAATTAGCGTCTCTAAATTGCCTTTAAGTGTGACTGTTTGTGAACATGGTTGTATGTCTCTACACAGTAAGTTTTGCAGTGTTAAAGTAACACTTTAAGAGTGCGTTTGGTCTCACTCTGAATTAGTGTTAAATTAGAACTCTACGTAGTGTATATCTTACTCCAGTTGTTGTTGTAATGACTCTAAAAGAGTCAATGTACTTTGACACTACATATTTAACTCTGTGGAATTTACTGTGTACCCTGTGACAGACTGGCAGTCTGTCCAATATGTACCCCGCCTTCTGCACATAGAGCCCTGGAGACACTGTAGGCAGTAGCCCCACATCGGATCTTGATGGATGAATCAAATATTACCTTTAGACTCTGCAATGTCTGGCACTTAAAACATTAAGTTCAACCAAGTGTTACTTGAACACATACAAAGTTAAATATAACTGTTTCCGATAAACATTTGGTCCCACTCCAAATCAGTTTAACTTTACTCTATAGCCAGTGGCAGATTTTTAGAGTTAATTTTACTCATATTAGTGTCAAAATCAAGAAGAACTCTCAGAAGCTGTCGGGTAATTGACATCATATAGAGTAAAGGTTACACTGCATGGCTGTCAAATATCTCAAGGATTATTAACTCTTTAGCAGATTTACACTCAGTATAGTATAAATACTCCATGTAGAGTTAAATAGGTGAACTCTAAATTTTTAAAGGTGATGATAAATAAAGAGATTTCGCTTCCCATTCAAAATATAAGAATTAGCGTTGAGTTTGAAGCTTTATATAGGAGCCCAAAAACTTGTTTTGGCTTAGAAAACATGCAAATTGAACCAGAGGAATGAGTCCCCCCCCTTAGGAATGAGGAGTCGTTTTGGGTTCTTTGTTAGCCTGAAACACCCAATACTGGTCTGTGCCTCTAAAAGGGGGGTTGTTGGGGCAGAGAAGCGAAACATCTCCAAACTTGGAAACAAAGTCCAGTAGGTGTTTTTTTCTACTTTTTTGGAATAAATATGACCTGGATGACTGAGAATCTTCACCAGCATGCTAAATAAAGGCATTTCTATGTTTTCTGTTGTAGATACTCCTTTAAAGCTACAGTGTGTAATTTTCAGCGACATCCAACGTCCAGACTGCAGACCGCAGCAACATGAACATCTCCCCCCCACCGCTTCTCCCCCCAACAGTACGGAGAGCGTTACGGGACAAAATGTCTTCCATGACGTCCGCATCACCTACCTTCTCAAGTGATGAGGTTTGTTTACATAGATAATTTTACTTACTTGTGGTAACTGCAGGGACATGCCTACGGACCGGGAGAGGACATGCTGTGGCCAGGATCCAGCTCACTGTGCGTAATGGGCGATCTCGCAATCGCTAGTTTGTTGGCTCTGCGCTGCCGTAGCGCAGAGATGTCTGCCTCCATGGCTGCGAGACCCGCTCCTATGTAATTATAAATAACGAATTCTAAGGCAATGCAAATATTAAGGTTAAGAGGCTGAGCTCGTAGATGATGATAAATAACATAGTTATGTATAATATATTACATTTCTGACTGTATATCCCTGTAATTATTACACACTGTAGCTTTAAGTATGAAAGGTGGGTTTCTGAATTAAACAGCTTGTCCATTAGAAGATGTTAAGGTTTGAAAGTCCAACTATTTTCTTGCCATAAACTCTGTCGATATTAGCTGGTGACCTGGTCTTTCTGTGCTGCAGAAGGAAAAGCCAGTCTGGTGAGTTGGTGTTTGCTGAAACTGTTAAGAGGGAAAGTGAGGAAGTTACTTTTTAACTGGGGTCAAACATTCACCACAGGAATGAAGGTACAGCCAGCCAGCTGCAATGGGATACATTCCAGCTTCTCACTTTCATAAATTAAAACCACAACTTCCTATATATCTTTTTTTCAGTTTTAGGATAAGGAAAGGTAAAGCACTTCATAGTTAAAATGCTTGATTTTTTTTTTTAAGATAAGGTCTGAAAAATGTGCCATGTTTACTCAAGTGTCCTCACTGATTAGAAGCAAATTTTACTGCATTTAAACCTGTGGGTTTTTAAGGATACATCTGTACCAGCTTTCTACATACATCATTTACAACTTCCTCTTTTTCTTAAGTACCGTAAGATTAGTCACACCGGATGGATATTGCCAGTAAAAAGCCGTTTTCAAGCTTTGCCACAGATCCTTCATTAGGTCCCTAATCACATACAAAAATATATTTACATAAATTATTTAGCAGGTTTACTAGTTTTCCCCATTTCTAGCCAATCGGTGGAACTGAGCTTTACAAGATATTAAGTGAGTTTAACAACTTAAGTTTGCTTTAACCTGAAGAATGTGGAACCTAATCATTTGTGTTTGTCTCCCCAAGCCAATAATGTTGACTTTTGTATTCGTAATAAAAACAGCCGAGGTTGTTTTACACGGAACTGTAAATGCAGATAAGCTAAATCACTAGAATCTTAAACTATTGAAAGCAATGAGCCTGAAAATCTAGAATAAATGGAAAGAGGCTCAGTTAACCAGAAAATCAGAGTAGGCTCCAATGTAGAAATATTTCTGACCTAAAATGACCCAAAAACAAATTTGACCCAACATGGGTGCTACTCCTCACATCAATCATTCCCTTCTTCTCCAGGATAGCATTCCACCTCCCTGCTTTACACCAAGTGTCACCAACACACTCCCTCTGCATACCACCGAGCTCACAGATAACTGCAGCTCTTTATCTCCAGTTCTCTGTGAAAAAAAAAAACATTTGGAGAAGAGAAACCGCCAGGTCAATGAGTCTTTACTGTTTTCAGCCAGTTTCTCTAGAAAGATTTGTTAAAAGTCAGAAAAAGTTTAAAAAACATGCTTAATAAGCCATATTTAAAAAAATGGGATGTGCCACCTACTGGCTAAAGTAGGTATTCACCTTTTCTAGCAACAGTAAAAGTGTGGATTTTGCCCTCCACACCTTCTAACTTCACCCCTCTAGAGAAAGAGATGCATTTAAGACTAACTAAACAGATAACTCATCCTGGCTTGATTTGAAATGGAATTAAGTAGATTCTACATATTACCAGTCCTTTCATGGTCCAAATTCTCTTTACATGGGGAAAAAAAACAAAACAAACCACCATTGCAATATATTTGTTTATTGTGCAGCTACTCGTTTAAAAACAGTGACTGTGCGACACCTGGTGGTTAAATGAGGGAATGACTAGTTCCTCTCTTCTATACAAGTTTGCCTTAAAGGGAAAAAAAAACAAAACAAAAAACTTGATTTTTACTCCAAATAGGAGCAAATGCAGCGACTCAAATGTACTCACCACAGCCACCCAAAAGGAAACCCACTCAAGGCCAAAAGTTTTACATAGAATATTTTATTACCACTAATCCAAGGCTCAGAAATGACCTTAACATGGAGAGAAATCTGAATTAAATGCCACATCTCTCTAATCTGTCTCATCTGCAATTATTCTGGAGCTGTAATAAATACGCTGCTGACAGAAAAACCTCTTTTTCAATGAGAATCAGCTCTGAATACAACAGTATGTGTTTAAAAGTTAGTTCTTCAGGGAGGTTTGTTCTTTCTGTTCAGTTCCAGAGGGAGTCAGAGCGGGACGGTCAGTATAAGCAGAAACAGACAGCCAATCAGAGTCTATCCAGTCCATTGACTTCCTGTTATTGTTCTGTGAATGAGTCGTCACTGAGCTCACACTCTTCAGACCAGGTCCACCAGTTTAAATTTCCCCTCCTGTTTCACTGGCAGCACGTTGATGAAGGTCTTGTAGAGCACGGCTCCTTTGGGCAGCTTGGTGATGACTCTGGTGACCTCAGCGGTTCGGGGAGGGGGGATGTAGACCTCTTTGGTGAACCTGACCAAGCCATCCTCCAGTGCAAATATGGTATTGTTGGTTCCCATGCCAACCTGCAAGACAGAGAGATTAGAAACCTTGTTACACTCCCTATGATACAGTTTTTTTTTAATGGGAAAAAAAAAGTTTGGTATTATAATTGCTCGTTTTAAACTCTAATGGTGCATTCACACAGGAAGTGGTGACAACGGCGAATGCCGTGGATTCAAAAGAACTCCTTATATAAACCGCTTGAGAAGGGCGGTGAAGCGGCGAACTCCATGCGGTGACAACCTCACTACCACTAGATAGAGCTGAGGTGTTGTCAAACAGCAGCGCCGCATATAGAGAGGAGTGGTGATTGATGAAGTTGAAACAAGCTGAATGTTTCTTTGAAATCACGGCAGCCAATCAGGGACTGGTTGTAGGTGAAGCTTTTTCAATTAAAATGGGATACAGAGATAAACAATATTAATAAAAGCATAAATAAACAATGTGCTCAAGGGGTTTTTAGGTGTTTTTAAAAAATAAAGCTGCTTTACTTTAGTCCTTGAAGGACTGCTAATCGTCCTCACTTCCCCCATCACTCACTGCCCAGCATTGGTGCTTTCTGAGGGGTTAAATTTACAATGAAGTCACGAATCAGACAAAATCAGAGCTACGTCGGGATAAAACCAAACTGGACTCTTTGTTTCAGAGCTTTTCCGGCTTATAAAAAAGAATGATGGTCTCCCAAGGTGATTCAAAACTTGTTCATAGAAAACAATTTAGCATTAGTCCATGATGTTAAGTATCACCTGTGCTTTTATTATGAAATGCCAATAAACACTGAGACCTTGACAGGAAATTACACAGATTTGCCAAGGGTGAGAGTAGGTCCAAAGAAGGGGGTTTGGGAGGCTGGTGATCATTACAGCCTGTTGTTAAAGATAGGCTATGTGTCTGCACCTTGAAGCTCTATCTCTCTGGTTCTTTTTCCTGAAAAGAACTCGGCACAAACTCTTATACTACTAACTTATATGTATTATATAACCAGGAGACATGACAACACTCAGATCGGAGAAATTGCTTAGAGTTTACAGAAGGCAGCTGCTCACCTCTGGGCTCACTTCTCAGGAAGTTGCTCCGATTAACAGTTAAAAAGGCATTTTATACATCTCCAGTCTGACATCATATTTTATATCATACACATTAGCAGATGATTAGACATCCATGGCTCCAGCCTTATCAAAATATTACATTCCCTCTTAGCTGAAGGACAATGAGATTCCATTCCCAAATCTTTGCCACATACAGAATGAAGATTATAACTGGATATCCAGACACAGAAACGTCCTAATTAGATAAACTATTGTGGAAAACATCAGTTCTGATATTAGTAGGCAGCCAAGGTCTAATAAACTCACACATCATCAATGATAATTATCCTAACACACTAAATAAGGATCAGGAACCAGTGAAGTGCTACCGACTACTACAGGGGTGCTCAAGTCCAGTATCAAGAGCTACTATCCTGCAACCTTTTGATGCACCCCATTTTTAACACACCTGAATCAAATGAGCGGCTCGTTACCACGCCTTTGCTGAGCTGAATGATGGGATTGAGCTTTTCGATTCAGGTGCGTTAGAGAAGAGATGCATCTAAGAGTTACAGGAAAGTAGCTGTTAAGGACTGGACTTGGGGCACCCCTGGTCTACTAGGATGGCGACATCATTGGTCCATATTAAAAATAATTATATTTTTTATGCAGTCCAGAGTGTAAACTGAGCATCTGAAATCCTCATCTGAACTACCTGCAGAGCTCCTGGATATCCCTGCGTTTACTGGCTGCTGTGTGAACGCACCATAAGAACAGCATTTAAGGAATGCTAAAAACATTTAACACACATCAACAGATATTTAATCAAACCAATCAGGACGGCTCTTTGTTTTCCTCTGAAACTGGTTTAGTATTAAACTTTCCTCCCTGCAAATAAAAACCTAAAAAGGGTAACTCACATGTGCTCCGGGGTGATACCTCATCTTCCTCTGTGTTGCAAGGATGTTCCCAGCATGGACAAACTCACCTTATGAGCAAAAGAGGAAAATATTTAGCACAAAGAAGAGGGGGTGCATTTCAAAAGCAGCTTTCAGAACCTCAAGAGCTGCTGATAGTAAAAGTTGATAATAGCAAATATAAAGTGTAAAACCAGCAGCGATATTCAGAGCATACGTGTGGAACAGTCAGATCCTGTGACTTATGCCATCAGGAAAATAAAACTACTGAGAAACACAGATGATGGAAACATTTGAAAACATGTCCATCTGATTACATTTGTTGTTTCTCATCATGACAGAATGTTGCATAGATGTGACTCAAAAATAAACAAAACTATTTATCCCTCATCAGAAACCAATAGACTCTAAAATCAAGGACCTTAGCAGGAACACTGCTCTCCCAAGGAATTAAGGCATGGCATCTCACTCTCTCTCTCACACACACACTTTTTATAAAAGTATTTTTTTTTTTAATAAAGCATTTTAAATGTCACGATAATCACATTTAATGAATTTTAATGCCAACTAAGGCCTTAATATAAAAGACAATAATTCAATGATTTTTAATGACCCGCAGAAACCCTGAATATACCTCCCTACCCCTGTTACAGTGTGCCAAGGACTTAAAAAAAACAAATACAATGTGCAAATATTGTACATTGCATTTGTACAATATGTATACTGTTGCCCGTGTATACTGGAAACACGGGTAACTTGCAGGCTCACCTACAGAGGCACCACACTGTCAAGCTAGCAGCACCAAAGACACAACAGCAACCTGTAGACCCGAAGCAAATGACCTCAGACAGCACCACTTTTATGGGTTTTTATCTACCTCGACCAGTGCCATCGGGATTACCGACTCACTGGTGCGTTTTATCTGCCTAGATTTGCGTCCTTACTGCTTGGATGAAAATAGAGGCTTATCGGTGCATGGTAAATACACTGGAGCCATTACCTCATCCCAGCCTCTCGCCAAGAAGTACAAAGAAGTCAAAGAACGTGTCAAAACTTCTCTAAGTTCAGCTGCAAGAGTGGCCCTTACGTGCGATGGTTGGACGTCTCGAGCCACAGAATCATGTGACAATAACGTCATTTCATTACCAAGGTCTGGGAGCTAAAACTGTTTGTTTTACAAACAAGAGCCATGAATGAGAGCCATACGGGAACAAACGGCGCTGGATCTGTGGGGCATAGCATCCAAAGACACAGATAATGCAGCTAACATGACCATCACAGCTGTGCTAACTGATACATTACATTTCAATTGCTTAGCCCATACCCTTAACCTTTTTTTTTTTCTTCCTGATTACAACATCAGTGTAAAAAAATATTGTAAATAAATATAATATTTGGCTGATTTTGTTGAGTGAATGACAGAATTAATTTGTAAGTAACAAATGTCGATATTGGAGTCAAATCCAATAAAGCTAAGCTACATCGAGAATCGTACCGTGAGCTATGCATCGAGAATCGTATCGTATCGGCTCATTCCAGATGATACCTAGCCCTGGTATCAAAACAGTATTAATACAGTTTGCTAACGCTTCATGACGCCTCATGAACCCATCACTACTTATTAATCTACGGGTGAGTAAAATCAAGCATATCTGAAAAGGTTATGTTGACTTAAAATAAGGTAATGAATCAAAAACCACTCATGTTTAGGTGTGTTTCGACTCAGTAAAAAAATCTACATGTGGACGAAAAAGGAACCTTCAAAAGGGCCAAATCTTACCGTCCAATTTCTTAAAACCAAACCTCCGACCAGGACTCTTCCCTCCGAGGTTTTTGCTGCTGCCTCCGGCCTTCTTAGAAGCAAACCTCAAAGAGTCCAGCAGACAGTTCTGACTGGAAACCAGCACACCTGAAACGAGCAAAGCAGGGATGCTTCAGTGAGTTTTTATAAACTAATTTCACTGTCTGTGCAGCTAGCTAGCTAGCAAGTTAGTTAGGTCAGCTTCCAGTAAGAAAGCCTGCTATAACGGTCACCTTTACACCACACCAGACACGCATTTTTATTTTAAATTAAGCCCTTTTCCTACCTGCTCTGGACTTGAGCATCAAGGACGCGAACGCCGCCATTTTGAACGTCACCAATACGCAATATCCTAGACGTCATATCCGGATCCTTCTGCTGTGTTCAGCGTGGGAAATACGAGTTTCAAAATAAAATTAAATAATCTCACCTATATTGTCTATTAACTCCCATTATCACGTATCTACGGAAGTAGGATGGAGTATTAGGAATACATTTTGCTGCTTATATTCTATAAACTTGATGATTATATTATATAAACATGATAACTTTAGTTATTTCGGATTGTAAACACATTAAATAGTTTCAGATCAATCACTTATTTTTATATTAGTATAATTAATAGATTAGGATATCAACAAAGTCAGGATAGTACCATCAGAGAACTGGAAGAGATGTCTCACTGTACCATGCAGAAGAATGGTGGCCTGTGTAAGGTTGCGGCCACCCCCAAAATATTGGTTGGATGCAGATTCTATGCAGAAGACAGCAGATATCATAATAATTCATATTCAATTCAATTCAGTTTATTTCTATAGCACCAATTCACAACAAATGTCATCTCAAGGCCTTTTCGATTTTACCAGATCACACAGTCAAATTGATTCAATGTTTTCTATCTAAGGAAAACCAGTTGATTGCATCAACTCATTGACTCGAATGCAATCCCTCACACTAAGCATGCTTGTAGCAACAGTGGAGAGGAAAAACTCCACTTGTATGATTAGAATGTAATAAGTATTCACAGGAACATCAGCATTTAAAAATTGGATCTTCAATGATAAACCTTTTAGGAATCAAATCTAATTCTGCTAGAAATCAGTTAATTAGATAAAGAAAAACCCACTGGATTATTTAATCGTATTTAAACTAATAATATAAGTGTGGGTATGCATGTGAATACACATATGTAGGTTTATATATATATATATATATATATATATATATATATATATATATATATATATATATATATATATATATATATATATATATATATATATATATATATATATATATATATATATATATATTTATATATATATATATACATTGATAGATAGATAATATGCAGATTAATGCATACCATTGAGGTATGAATTAATAAGTTCCATCTGACATCATTGATGACCACACTCCAGTCTGGTAGGTGGCGGTAAATGCACCTTAAGGTAGTTGCCATTCGCCAATAAAAAACATAAGAAGAAGAAGAACTCCGTAATTAAAAAAGATTTTTTTTTAATATATTTTAACATAACACAAAAATAAAAAATAGAATATAGTAGGTTGAACTATAGAGCTACACACTCATGTACAGTAGGTGGCGGTATGCACCTATAACCTGTTTGCAATCCACCAATCTAACAAAGAACAAAAAGAAGTCTCAAATCCGATGGTCAGTGAATGCCGCATAACCCGGGGAAATCAAACATCGGCTCACCATGATGTATGTAGCCACAAAAACAAGCTTCGGTTTGTAGTTAGAAGTTAGTTAAAGCGCTGAATGTTTGGTTTATTAGAAACGGGTGCAGCAGGGTTCGCCTTTTGTTGTTTAAATTGAACTTAGCTTCTCTGTGTTATCTGTCGTTTGTCTTTCTAAGGAAACCTTAATGCTGCGCCAAACTCAATTTAAGAAGTAATTTCTGTCTGTCCAGCGAGCTCTTTTTAGGTGCCCGACTAGTAGCTGGAAGTTTAAAAAGCAATTATTTCTGAGGCAACAGATAAAGTCACTCTGACAGACTTTGTGTAAATGGTTCCTCCTTATCTTCTAACAGCAGAGTCTGAGGTGGCAGTTAGTGAAGCTCAGTTAGACACCAACATGAGATTGGTTGTTGTTGCCTAATTTACCAGCTCTAAACTAACCTTTATCATCAAGACAAACTGTAAATGTTCTGTTTTTTTTGTGTGAATGTGTTAAACCAGAGGGGAAAAAAGCAAGAACCTGACTGATCATCCTGTTTCTGTGCTTTATTTGTAGATGTGATGGTTTTGAAGGCAGCAGTGGTTCAGATGAGGAGCTTCCTGTGTTTGATTTCCTCCAACCTCGTCCAAACACCGATGTGGCTTCCCAGAAAAGCTCAAAGGAACCAAACCAGAACTGCTTTTACTCTAAACCCTTCGTCTCCTCATCAGTTCAGGGTAACTCTGGATCTGTTGACGTGATGATGATCAGCAGCGACTCAGAGGATGAGTTACCGTACGTCCCTCTGGCTCAGAGACTGAAGCTCAGACAGGACAGGGCCGTCCTCACTGAAAGAAATGCACCCAATGAGCCAGGATCTGAGTCGGAGCGCTTCCTCACCTTGCATCAGGAGAGAAGAACGACTCCAAAGAAAGTAGATAACCCTCCTCTCAGGGCTTTCTCTACATCTGAGAGCGGAGACCCCTCTCCTACTCGGACGAAAGCCCCAAAACGGACAGCTGAGGAGATTCAGGCTTCCAGGGAGGAGGCTCTGAAGAGGAGGCAGGCCAGAGAGAGACAGCAGCAGGAACAAGAAAGGCAGAGAGCGGAGAGGAAAGCTCTGGCTGAGGCCGCCAAGGCCCTGAGGCCAGAGGAGTGCATCAAGCATATGGTGGTTGCTGTGGATCCAGGTAGAAAACCGAAACATCTCAAATCTGATTCATTAGAACCCGGATTGCTTAAATGTTTGTTTCTATTGTAGCTCTGTTGCAGCTGGAAGGAGGCGGGACCCTGCTGGCAGCGGTGCAAGCTCTGGGCTGTAGCTGCTCCATAGAGAAACAGGAGCTCCCACGCAGCATCACCTGGGCGAGGAGAGCTCCCACTACACAGGTAGTAAAAAAAAACACCAAAAAAACTCAAATGCTTTGAACAGGTAGCAGTTCTGCTTGTAACAAAACCCTATCTCAGCTCCAACTACTCCAACCGTTTCAGCTGGGCGATGCAGGCTGTGTGCCAGAGCCTCATGTGGTGATGCAGATGACGGTGGAGGACTTAATCACTCTCATTCACAACTATATTCAGGTGAGCTTGAGAACGCTGGCGCCTGGAGTTTGGAAAACGGCCTCCAGCAACTTTTCTCTGACTGTGACTAACTGGATGTGCTCTCTTCATCCTCTGACATGGGAGCTGGCTCGGTGCTCGTCTGCCTGGCTGTGTGTTTCCTGGATGGGTCCACCTTTTACACCTGCTTTTTGTATCTCTGCTTCTGTCTCCTTGAACCCCAATCGGCCTCGACAGATGGCTGCTCACACTGAGCCTGGTTCTGCTGGAGGTTTCTTCCTGTTAAAAGGGAGTTTTTCCTCCACTGTCGCTACAAGCATGCTTGGTGTGAGGGATTGCATTCGAGTCAATGAGTTGATGCATTCAACTGGTTTTCCTTAGATAGAAAACTTTGAATCAATTTCACCGAATGATCTGGTGAACTGTAAGGTGCCTTGAGATGAATGTGTTGTGATTTGGCGCTATAAAAATAAACTAAATTGAATTGAATTAATAGGAAGGGAAACACGAGAATAACTGGAATAAAAAATAAAGATGCTTGGATGCTTAGGAAAATTATGGGACATATACAGAAATGGCATCATACTCAGATGTTAAACTTCAGTTTTGTCATTAGAAGGCACTTCTCCTGGATGTGGAGGAGGAAATAACAATGTGTTTCCTCAATATGTGTCTGATCTGCAAAACCATTCGACCCCTCCTTGGCTTTTTTTTTTTTCTTGCCTTTCTGACTTGGAGTTAAAATGGATTGAGTTTTTTAATCTGCTGACATGCTGCCGGTCAAAAAATTCCATTATAGATGCCTGCTTTTCAGGGCTTAGTCCTGTTTCTCTCTTAGACATATATATGGGCTCATCTGTTTAACTGTTTCTCTCCCAGACAGACATCCTGTTTCAAGATTCAAGATTTCAAGATTACTTTATTTTTAACCCAGCCTTGAGCGGTGCTCCACTAGGGCGAAATTTCAGTTTTGGTAAAAAACATCCAAGATATGGGGGGGACAAGGTGTCGAGCCCTTGCTGTCGTAAAAAGGTGCTGTCCTTTGCATTAAGAAAAAAAAAAAAGGGAAAGGAATCACAATCGGCGAGGGGAGGAAAAAAAAATTCATACTTCAAAAATTGCAACAAAAAAAAACTCAGCACTTGCTCCAACAGAAGACAAGATAAGTAGGGTAGCAGGGTATATGTTGTTCTTCTTGAAACTCCAATCACCTTATTCTGCTGGAAGTTTCTTCCTATTTAAAAGGGAGTTTTTCTTCTCCACTTTCGCCTCATGCGAGTTCAGGGTGAGGGATTGCTGCAGAGTCAATGACACAATACAAGTTAATATCTACAGTCCTTGCCAATAGTCTTGTCACTTTCTAGAAACAACGGTGTATTTCCTGATTTTTAATTCATCCACTGGTTTCAGAAATTGCTCCTATGAGAACTTAAACTCTCCCAGATTATAATCAAGTTACCTAAATAAGTTTGCTTCACTTAAGAAAGTTCGATTATTTGGCAGATTTCAATAAATTATCAATCTTTCATCGTTTTAGCAAATTCCAGTTGATAGATTGAACATCATTTGGGAGGGTTTAGTTCTCACATGAGCCAAGATGTTCCTAGAAAATTGATAAGTGACAAGACTATTGTCAGGGACTGTACTGTCGCTATAAGTTCATCCAGGAGGAGCAAATCTTGCCAAGTCATTGACTCCATTCAAGAGGAGTTTTTACGATAAAATTTATTTTTTTTTTAATCAATCAGCCCATATCATCCTGACTTTCATGACTCATCAACCTCTCAGTGGTGTTGCAGCTGTAAAAGATGTGTTTAAACTGAACTAGTTATTTAACTTTTGAAGGTTGTTTTTTTTTGGTTGCTCCAGAGTAAGCACTCTCTAAAGCGGAGGTCTTCAACGTTTTCCAGGCCAAGGACCCCCAAACTGAGAGCAGAAACCCATAATTATATAAATTGTATTATATCAAACTGGTCCTATAGTCACTCTATTACAGTTGGAGTAATGTAACAAAAGTAATTTCTCCCTGGGATTATTAAAGTATTTTGATTCTTATTCCTCATTGATGGGACAGGTGTTGTGAATGAAATGGTGCCCAGCTTGAAAGAGCTCCTGTGTGTCGCTGAATGTGTGCATTGATGAC